CTAGGCAATCGACTTTGCTTTTAGCAGAAATTTGATATGAATAGGGAAGTGGTTTTGTTGCATTTATTCAAGATATAAATCAGTATCATGCATCATCTTCAGCTTGGATTCAGGGCAAATAGTTTTTTGTTTGCTTTTTGCAACTTGTACATTTAAGGAACCAAAAGAAGGCAGCATGTTGATCATGGCTCCACTGCCTGTAAACTGTTTACTTCATACTGCTGTGATTTGATTGGGTACAATTTGTCCACCCCCATTAATGAATCCCCATAATGTTATTGGTCCATAGTTGCTGCAACAGTTCCCAAACCACTCACTAACATTGTCTTCAATGAGACATTCCATCAGTGGTTGAACTGTAGGAGCATGTGGACATATCAGCACAACTCACACGTTGCCTGGGGCTCGGGTTAGGTGATGCAGTAGCAGGTGCTTGCAAGTTGGCTGTGATGTTTGCTGAAAAGCCCTGTTGAGGGCATCAGGTGGCTCATAGACACCTGCTCTTGGCACAGGCCATTCAACTCCCTGCCTGTCTTCATGGGGGGGACTGACCTGCAAGATATCTAACACATATAATTATTATTGTTATGCCATTAATTCTTTTCATCATGCTTGATGATGCAGAGGATTTGAGTAATCAGTATTGGTGGTGTATGTTAGTCCACATTAACGAGAGAGGTTCATTATTAATGGGTTTGTAGAATAATTAGTATTCATTACCAGGCAAGGGATGATCTGTAAGCTAAGGCCATACAATGACCAAAGATTCAGCGATCTTGTCAGAACATTTACACAGTTTTGACAGGTCGAAAATGAACCTTGCAGTGCATCAATTGCCCTTTGCATTACTAAAATATTTTGACAGTTATACATGAGAAAACTGGCACATGCTTTTTTCCCCCTTTTTTTCTTCAAGCTTTTTCATAAAATTGAGATCCGGGATACAATAACAAATGCGATAAAAAGGTTGGCCTTATCACATTGCTATTGTTCATGGCATCTAAGGAGTGTAATAATGTGTCATCATATATCGCATTGCGAGAATTTACAATGACTATAAAGGATAAATAAAAAAATAATGTTCACAAAAGAATCATTAAGAAACAACCATGGTTTGAAAAATGTCTTTACTAAAAACATGCAAATGACAATGTTATGAATTATACTGACTGTCTTACCCAATCGGCTGATCTGGTAATGAGGCATTTTGGTCACCTGAGGATTATAATGTTTATTGCATGGCTTTTTGCCGCCTTAAGCCAGTGATATGTAGATTTTTCTTTTCCCTCTCTGTTTGAACCTAGATAGCATTATAAGTGACCTAGATGATACCAGAATGTCATGTTTGTAGAAGTAACAGTAAACATACTCATTTTCAGATTTGTCTGTTGATAATTTTATGGTGTGTTTGCACTGCCCCGGTGACTAGGTCTATATTGTGAGACTAAGATAACAGGTACCCTGTGTTGAGAGTGAACTTCAGGTATAACCTGGGTTTTTGCCACAAGGGGAACACTGTAGTACATTGTAGTTTTGTAGTAGGATAAAGGTGCAGACTGCATAGAGATCTTTGAGAAGTGTCCTATAAAAGCAGCTCACTTTTGACTTACAAGGTGGTGTGATGGTAGTTACTTGACAGCTATTTCAACTGTGTAAACAAGGATATAATGTTTATATCATGAGTGTGGGAAATACTTAGGTGATACGTGTGTTGGTATATCACTGGACCACAGATATGAATGATAGCAACTGACCTATATGAAATTAGAACAGTATGACCATAAACCAACATCTTCCTGTCTGATGGGTGGAGTTTGAAGGAATGGAGGATTTGGTAGCCTGATTGCCACTGATGATTAACAAAATTATCCAAACAAACATATATTTTGTAGTCAAGTTTATGATAATTCTTATCTGTACTAAGATTAGGACTAGATGTGGACAGAAGGTTGCTGACCTGGCCTGAATGATGTACATCCGTTATACTCTAACCATTTTCCATTTCTTTTTTAAACCAAATGTTTGAACATTTAATGACAAAACAGACTTGTGACAGCTAATGCCATTTGTTTCTCATCTGATCTAGTCCTTTTGTTCTGAATGCTGGGACCGCCTCTGTGGTTTTGTGGTAGAGGGTCCAGTCGGAGAGCGGAAGGTTCAGGGTTCACTCCCCCGCCACATCATACCAAAAGATGTCAAAAGGTGGTACTTGTTGTTGCCCTGTCTGGTGCTCAGCATTAAGGGTCTAAGACAAGGACTGGTCAGCTCGGAGTCAGTGTCTAAGTTGGGTATTCATGTTATACTGCAACATGGTATCTCTGTGGGCTAGCACTATAAAACTGGCATTAGTCTGAACTAGTACAAGCAGGCACCAACACACACAAGTGCATGCACATCGCTATATACGTGCAATAATCTTGGACATGATGTTAAGTCCCATTTCATCTCACCTCTGAATGTTAGGATCCATCATCATGTGCATGGGATCCCAGTGATTTTCAAAGTCCTGTATTTCTTTTATCAATATTTGTTGATATATTTTTACATATTTTGAATGTTGAGCCTCTATGACTTTGTGGACAAATAAATTGGTCAACCTGTATAGTGTTGATGTTAAGCTGTTGTTCAAAGACAGGAGTTTGGAGGATTGAGATCCACATTAGCAGGGATTTACTGTAAGGACGGTACTGCTACAGGTAGAGGTAGTGGTCATGGGGAGTCTTGATTGAATCATAAGTAAGCTGCCTGCCTCTTGGAGGAGAGGAAGGGGGACTGTGGCTGGCTTGGGAGCTCAATGATCTAAGGTGCCAGTATTCACCATTTCTGCCTTTAGGCGACTATGCTTGTCGTAAGATCGATGCTCATGTTGTCAATCACTGTATTGTCTAGTCCAGACTCGATTACTTACAGACCTCCTGTCATAAGCTGGAATATTGCTGAGTGCGGCGTTAAACAACAAACAAACACTCCCTCAATCCTGCCTCTCTCTAGGTTAGCTGGCATGTGCTGAACAACATGTATTGGTGTATTCAGAGCAAGAACACTTACTGGAGAATGCAAATAGTGGGGCATCTAGAGGGGAGGTATGCATGTGGCAACAGCAACATCATACCGGAACACTCCTACCAAATGATTTGTTGATGTACCATTGACAACAAGTTATAAACATCAATGCCAGAGAATAACCCATCTTGATTATCCAAAGAAACAGATTAAACACTGAATGGTAGGTAACTATGCACTTGGCACACTGACAATGTCATGTAGAAAATTAGTAGGGACAATGCATGTGGTTGGATGGATTATTCACTACATTACGGTAGGATTTTTAATATGAAACCAAACTGATTTACCGAGGAATTCCAGTCTGGGCAGTGTGAATGGTAATATGAAGCCCTCTGGAGAGTTGTGTATCTTGAATGGTTCCTGTGTTATGCTTAAGGTAACAGATTCGTTTATATGTTTTGCGAATATATATAATCAAGATCTAAAGGAAGCAATGTCTCAGTGTGACTTGGGTCCTGGGTGGTTATGTTTTGAAGGCTAGAATTGCATGCTGGACTTCAGTTATCCCATACAGAGATATTCCCATTGCATTCTTTGTAGGATCATATTCACTGAAGAAGTCTGCCCAGGGACACTTGTTTGCGTGTCGACGGCGCCAAAAGTGTCACTTTTATCCTCTCGAGTCAAACTCCAAGCAACACAACTTTCACAAAAAATAGTGTTATGGACAACACGCCAAGAATTGGGAGTCAATGTCTAATGAACTGATGATGTCAGTTTATGTAGGTCTCTGTGCTGTGATAATGATAACTCAATCAACTAAGTGCTGACTGATAAGACAAGTTCCACAGTCCTGCAACTATTATTGGCAATTGCTCCAGGTGTGAACGCTAGGTATAGTAAAAACATTATTACACTGTGTAAGCCAAACAGGTGCTCTCAACCATGTCTTTTACCCTGATTGATATCATATATTATACATAATAATGGTCAGTAGAAATAGGAAATTGGAATATTTAATCATGATTTGTTTATGAATATCCCTGGCTCAATGTGGTTCAGACTGTTGCCGTAAATGAACATTTCCGGTCTTTGTTTAAGGAAGATTAATATTGAGGAGACATCTTGTGCAGTAGTTGTGTGAATTGCCTTTAAGAGTATGATACAGTAATTATATTTCATTTGCAATGCTATGTTGTAACATTATGTAACATCAATATGAGTTTGGTATTTAATCTATGGTGGCATGGTTACTAGTGCAGGGCTTGATTTGGCTATATAAAACATGCACAAGTGCAACCTAGTATTGAAAAATGCAATCTAATATTTACATCTACATGCGCCAACTGCATGTAAAACTATTCTTTGTGTCTGACAAACCAACCCTCACTTGTCCACACAATATCCATCTTTGAACAAACTCAGTACCTCAGTACCTAAAGTTTATTTGCTAAGTCAGCAAGGCCATGTAATTTGTCATGCTTTCACCATGATGTCATCAAACTTTGGGTACTATAAGGTAATGTGCACATGTTCCTATGACCTTTTACAGCAATGCGTAATTAATTTAAGTGACACTGATCCTTGAGTGACTATACTGATCCTTGAGTGACTATACGGATCCTTGAGAGACTATACTTTTCCATGAGATTCTATACCATGTATACTGATCCATGAGGGACTATACTGATCCATGAGTGACTATACTGATCCATGAGACACTATACTGATCCTTGAGAGACTATACTAATCCATGAGACACTATACTGATCCTTGAGGGACTATACTGATCTTTAAGGGACTATTTTGATCCGCAAGAGACTGATCCGTGGGATACTATACTGTATGTTGATCCAGATTACCCCTCTTTGCCAAGCAAGCTGCTATAGATGGTTGAATGTTTCTTGACAACTCTGATGCATGTCCTGTATATAATCCATTTTTAAGCACTCCATTATATAACCTGGGATAACCACCATATTTTGTATTTCCAGATCACCAGAAATTGGAAAGAGAAGCCAGGATTTGTAGGTTGTTAAAGCATCCCAATATAGGTAAGTCTCCCTTATTTACTGTTACCTTACATGATGACATGTTAGTAGCCTGTTCATGTTGGTAGCCTGTTCATGTTGTTTTAGGAATGTCATACAGTGATTCCTCAACATAACACTCGATGTACCGCTAGCCTGGATGTAGCGCGGGGTTAAGCTCACAAAATTTCATGAAGAATTTCACTTATGATCCCTTATAATCAGGTTCAAAATGTACCCGTTTGGTGCGTTCAACAGTTATAACTATCCCCTGACTAAACAAGTTTTTGCAGGGGATATAGAAACGGGCTCTGTCATGTTGCATTTCTGGAACTCATAAATGATTCAATATTTCTTCATGAAACTTTGTATGCACATCAGGCATTTACTGAACTGCCACCTTTTGCTATTTTTTCAGTTTTATTATTTCCAAGACAACAAGTTTGACTTGGATCAAATGAGTGTAGGGACCATTTCCAGAGTATAACTTATGTCTTTGTGAAACTTTGTATACACGTCAGGCAAGTGCTGAACTGGTGCCTTTTGCTGTCCGGGTAAGACACTACTCTCATAGACGTTATTCATAATGCAGTGTTTATTATTTTAAGAATTATACATCACTTTAGGAACTGTTTAGTTGTTTTGCCCTTTTGTTAAAGCGATGATTTAGAGTTTTGAAAGTATTATATGTAGCATTGCTATCAAATGAAATCATAATGCCAGCTGTACTCACAGGCTTTTGGATTAACCATTTTTATATAAAGAGATCTTGGTCATTTTGTGCACATATTTGAAAGGGTATGGGATGCTTTTGTCTTCTTGGCGCCTCTATGATGTGTTCTATGAAAAAGGTTAAGTGTTAATTGTTTACTATATCACCATACATTTAATACAATGTCATGTATCGTGTGTTTACATTGTCACTAAATGTGTGTCATGCTTACAATGTCACTATATTCATGTGACAAATATTTATGATATCAAGATATCATGTTGAGGGGGATTGGGGGACTTTTTGAAGAGCCATTATTCTCCCCCTTATCCATGCCAGAATCCACTGCAAGTGCAAGCTATCCCAGTATCACCTCCTGTGTTGTGGCCCTTGGTCTACACCAAACTTAGGCTTACAAGAGCAGCAAAGGTCAACTGCCTGCGTCTCTTTGGGCTGTCCTTAGTTTGGCTGATGACCCAGTGTGTTAGAATAGGTACCCAACAACCTATCCTGGATCTAAGAGGTGCGACCTGTGAAGATCCGGGGTAGAATATATCTTCAGCAACCCATGCTTGCCGTTACAGGCAACTATGCTTGTAGTAAGAAGCGACTAACAGGCTGGAATATTGTTGAGTGCGGCGTTAAACAACAAACGAATCTAAGTGGCGACCAAAAGGATCGGGTGACTTGGTGGATAGCATGTCCTAGTACCCTGACAGGATGGGTCCTTGCTCACAACATCAAGCACCGGATTGTCTGGTCCAGATGTAACAGCCTCCATGTGAAATTCAACTCGGGATGAATGAGGTGATGATGGCAGCCATGGTGAAGATTCATGTAAAATACTTCACATTATTTGAGGTTTTAATCGTTTCCTTTACCAACTTAGTTCCAAAACTAGAGCCTGATTACAACAAATATTTTATACCCACAACGCGATACGGTTCTTGAACGATAATCTGTCACAAGATGAGTTTCAATCTGATGCATAGATGCCTCATAAGGTCCCTAACCATGGAACATGCATTCAGGCGGTGAGTGCATCAATATCCTGTAATTGACGCTATCAATGCTGCAGTGCACCCTGGGATGTAGGCAGTGATAGGTTCAGGGATCAATTATTGATACATTGAACACACTTAGTGTTTTCATCTCTCACGGAGCCTCAGATTAAGAAAACTTTGATTGACGACATTATCATCCCAAGTGAAAACTTGCCCCAGGTTATGGATGAAATTGGAATAATCACATTGCAAAGTCTTGCCTTGTGAGAAGATGAGAGAGCGTGCTTGATCCCTGCCTTGTCATTTCCATGGCTTTGTTGGAGATGGAGAGACAGTGGAGATGGAGTGTTGTCATACACGACTTGTTGTGTTATTTAGTGCCTTGCTTCCTGTAAAACTTGGCACTGACGCTCAATATGCTCCTCAGAGAGTACACCCATGTAGGTAAACAGATGCCAGTGTTAACGGAATCCCATGGCCTACCTGTCCCGTCATGAACATGTTCAATCTCACTGCACATTAAGGGATTGACATTTCGTATTTTTGGATTTGCCTGTTTTCTTTTCCTAATATCGTCTGACCTGTAAAAAACTGAAAGAAACAACAAGTTGTTATCTTTTATCAGAAAAATAAATAATATGTTGTTTTTGTACAGTTTTGTGTTGGCACACTCACTGAACACATTGATGTCATTTCCAACAGGTACACTGTGTTCATCTCAGTATCCTTCTCTAGTATGTTGGTGGAATATAGCTTAAAGCAATGTGAAAACCTCCTCACACTCCTCATATTGCCGTGTTAAAATTAGGAAAAACATACAGTTGTGTATTGCATCTGGTAAGAGGAAAACAGTTCTTCAGTTTAGTTTAGTCAGTACATGACAACAATGTAAGATAGATATGTTTTATACTTGACCATATCGCAAAGAACATGAATCATGTCTTTTTAATCTTGGTTTTCCCCTTGAAACATCCAGGTGATATAAATGTGCTGGGAAGTTGCAACGCGAATTTTTTATTGATTTTCCAAGTATGATTGCAGTCAATTCAGGTAGATATCTACCGGAAATTAAAGAAATGTAGTGATATGCAAGAAATAATGCAAGATGCCTAATTATGTAAGCTGAGGAGTAATGTAAGAGGAATGTTGCAAGATGATGATATTGTGTAAGATTCATGGCAAGATGAGGAATAATGAAGCGACAGCAGACGCATTGTGATCACTTGGTCTATGACTGTCGGCAATGATTATCTGCCACAGACAGATGTCAGAACAGGGCACATGAGCCAGCACAAGATATCATAGGTCATTTTTCCATGAGGCATGCTGAATTGCAGAGTGCACAGTGGCAAGGGATGGGCATGGTGTCTCCCATCTTTCAGTGACAGAACTGATGTGGAGGCCAGTGGCTGCGAACTCTGGGGACTGCATCTTGTCCTGTTGTTATCCACCACCACGAGGTGGAAGGGGGATCAAGGAATGGGTGCTGTCCGTCCATCCGTCCGTCACATATCGTTTCTGGAGCAGAACTCCAAAACAATGAGAGATATCCTAACCAAACTTGGCTCATAGATAGGTCTGGTGGTAAACTGGTGCCTTTTGATTGTTTGAGATTTTTTTTAAATATATTTTTTCGAGTTTCCATATCAAACACTTTGACTTAGACTAAAAATGGCAGTTTTGACAAGGGATATGAGTATTTCATGCTTGTGTTTTATTAAATGGGTGCAGGAAGCTGAATACACTATCATGGTTATGAAGTCCTGAAATTTTAACAGAAATTTGATTTTGTTTTCAAACGAATGCTTCTTCAGTGAGCACTTCAAGACATTATTTCCTCTGTACCCACACTCATTTTTGTCACAACTCCCAGTATGGCCAGTGAACAATTCATAGTTTTTCATCATTTCCTGGAACCACCTCAAGGGTCAAGGTCCCGGGTCTACCACTAGGATTTGTTGGAAGTCAGTGAGTCATTGGTACATGCAAGGCTTATCACTGATGCCACGTCAGTTACTACTGATTGATCTGTATTCTATTTCATAGTGTTGCCATGCCATTAATTGTTGCCAGACATGTCAGGAGAGATGATTGACAAATTTGGTGTTTAAATTGATGTTAAATGATCTACAGGATCACTCCACGAATGCTGCAAGACTGAAGCACCTCACCGTCGGTTACTTTTGATAGATAGTGCCTGCATAATACTGATTCCCCAGTGTACTCTGTTGAAGCATCGTCATAGCAACCATGGAGGCCTGCTCTACATCTCGCCGATTTCACATCTCATTCATTATTGATATGAAATGAACTCCCCAGTCAAATTCCTCAAAACCTAAAGTAATAGTCTGGATGGAAATAACCACCAAACATTGTATCCTTCAAAGAGATCTTCTTTCAGACATTGTGTGTTCAGTAAGGCTTGTAGGAAGGAGTGGATAGTCTTGTAACATGGTGTGATGGATTGTTGTATTTGCTGATGGCAGAAACAGGCTTCTATTGATCATTAGTTGAGAGGTATCAGAAATGTCAGCTGAAAAATATATTTATTGTAATTTTTTAAATTGTACGTGTATTTGATGTCTTTGGGGAAATACTGCAATTGACTATACACACTCGGGTTTCTAGTCATGTTGAGTACACAGTGGGTAGTCTTGATGAGTGAGTGAATGTGGTTTAATGCCGCTTTAAGAAATATTCCAGAAATATCACGGCGGGGGACACCAGAAATGAGCTTCACACATTGTACCCATGTCAGGATTCAAACCAGGGTCTTCGGCATGGTGAGCGAATGCTTTAATCACTAGGCTACCCGACCACCCTGTAGTCTTGGTATGCAGAGGTTATGGTGACATGTTCTACTACAAATTCTACTTTGTGCTATTAAGAATTCCTGACAGGTAATTTTATTGGATTTAAAAAATATATATTACCCATGGGTTGAGAAATAACTGAGTTCATAAAAAGCGTATGTGCACTGGTGCAAATATCCCTTCACATGCACCATTGTATTGTTTCCATCATCCCGCTTCACTGTTGATGTCACTCAAATCTTATTGTTATGTAAGGTTGGAATGACGTCATACACTAGAAACGCAATCATAGCTGAAGATTGTTTATGTCATTCGACAATTGTAGTTTTCTTAGATTGCTATTGTCATCAATGCATTAAGAAGTAGTGGATAATAAAGAAATTATTACACTCGCACGTGTGTCGTACTGATTTTACGAAACTCATATGAGAAATCATGTATTACCCTCGCTCTAGCTTGGACATAAAAGAATTCTGACACCCAGTGATTGATATT